GGAGCCAGGAACGACGGCTCGCCACAGGCTTGGTTACCCAGGTTCAGTTATGTGTTTGGTTTGGTTTTCTTCACTCTCGTTTGGTTTGTGGTACTTGGGATGGAACGTAGGCCCTGTGCACACCAGGCAAGCAGTCTACCACTAAACGATCCCCAGGCCACTTACTATGAGACGAGGTCTCACTAAATGGCCCAGGCTGGTCTTTACCTCACCAGGTGGCCCAAGTGGGCTTTGAACTTGTATCTCAAGGGGCCTGTGTCAGCCACCAGGACTGCCTGAAATCTGTCCTTTCTCCCGCCCCTGTGGCTCTCTGTTCGGGAGGTCTAAGCTCCCAGCTGCTGTATTCAGGCCACCCTGCCTACTTGTAATTAGTGCCACTCCAGCTACTCCGTTTTAACAGCGATGACACACTAAAGTAAAACAAATGAAACCTAGGACAGAGGGGAAATCGTGAGAGATGTGAACTGTGGGAGGGAGGCTGGAGCCCCGAGCCTTAAATACTAAGATTAGATTAGCTATGTACCTTCTCTTCCGAGCCATGAGAATCTTTGAGATAGGAAAACTGGCAAGGTGGTGGTGTGTTGAGTTGCTTCTGGCTCAGTGTGGCCTCAGAGGAGCAAGGGCCCCTCCCTCGAGTTTCCTAGACAAATTAAGGCAGGGGCACTGCATCAGGCTTTACTGAATCCCCAGAGACTGCCCTCTCAAGAACCAAGAAGGTCCATGCAGACACCAGAGGGAGGACACTGGGCATGTTTTTAAAGCTGTCTTCTCAGTTCATTTTACCCAACATCTAAGCAATCCATACCATTGCCCGAAGACGGTGCACACCTACTCATCCCTGAACTCAGTAAGCCACGGCGTTCCCTTATTAACCGGGCAGCTCACCTCAGACACTGTTTTAATTTCCTGTGTTTTTTTCCTACACGAAGTTAATTTACTTTATCACTCATCCCAAGAATGATACAGGGCATCTCTGAAAGTGAACATCCATGATCAAAGGGGGCTTGTGTTGTAAACAAATTATTACAACCTCGCTCCCTTTGAAATACTTTAACTTAATTAAGCTCACACACTTTGGCAAAGGTTTAAAAGCCAGAGAGTCATTGAAGACCTTCCCAGCCTAGCTGAGTTTGTTTTCTTTGATGTTACCGGGGGTGGGGTGGGGGGGTGGAGGAGGGTGTCCTTACAGGATGATGGTTGAAAATGGTACACTAATATGTTGTCTTAGCTGCTACCTTCTTAAATAAAAGATATTAGGCAAAACTGAATTTGTGTGGGGACAGTGGAATGGTGGGGTGGCTTGATTATGACGGGGGTTACTCCACGATTTACCTCCCACAAAACACTCAGACCCACGCGCTGAAAACATCGACTCTCACTGTGTGTAAATTACACACTTCTGGAAACCTGACTTTTTAAAAATTAGATTCTGACTTCTCAGCTGAGTTGAAAATACTCTCCAAATGTGTTTCCAGCATTGTCCATAGTGACAAAAACAAAGAAAAAATAATGAGAAATTATATAAATATTGATCAGTGGGGAATTTAGTTAATTAAAAAAATAACTTAAACCTATATTGACATGGAAGACTATAAAATATTGTTAGCGGGGGAAGCAGGTTGCAGAATAATGTGTTCATAAAAGCGATAATGGGAACACCTGAATTTGTGTTCGACTCTAATTAACAAATGACTAAGGAACAAACATCAGTAAGATTGAAAGCAGTGGCTACTTATTAATGAGTTCAACCCACCAGTCATTCTTCTAAGCATTTCACAAATACTACGCCATTTAATTAGCATGAACACACTGCCAAGCCAGTCCTACAGAGGTGCTCACTGCCGATCTGGATGCTTTGG